TTTCCTTCGTTTTTTTTGGGGGGTGCTATAACCTCTATAACCTTGCAAATGAAGGAGACTTCCGCGGTAGTCCCTCGTTGGTCTCTATGTCTCTATGGCTATGATCCCCAGACCCGGTCATCTATGTTTATATGATCCTCAAAACTAACCCAGAAAGGCAATGAAGGCTGAAGTGTTGCAGGACCTCCAAGTCAGCGGTAGGGAGCCAGATTCAGGCAAGAGCCTTCTCAGGGTTTAGGGTTTTGGGTTTAGGGTTTGCTAGGAGGGGCAGGGGACTTAGTAAGTAGGTTATAAGTAGAGTTGTAAGTACCCTAAATGGAGTTACTCCAATTAGAACCCTACTTATAAACGGCTTACTAAGTCCCCTGCCCCTCCAAGTAGGGTTTAGAGAGCTTAGCTGAGTAGCGTTTTCCGGTGGCATGCAAGCCTTCGAAACCTAAACCCTAAACCCTAAACCCGAGCCCGACCCTCGTTCTCAACCTACGTACTTGTATGTCAGGCTTTAGGAAGACCCTCAAACAAGGTGGACTCTGAAAATAGTTGTAGACCACCGTAGACTCTGTTTATAGACCCTAAACAACCGAAAGTCCTAAACCCTGAACCCTAAACCCAATTTACCAGATTGAACAACGAATCCTAAACCCTGAGCCCTAAGCCCTAAACAGCAGGACCCAAAAAGGAGCCCTTGAAAACAAAAAACCAAAATTCTAATTCTAATCAGAGAGGTACTTCCATCTATGATGATGACGGCTGGAGGCCTGGGGGCTGGTCCCCAGGTGGAACAGGCACGGGGACCCTGGACGCCGCGGCCTCAGGCCTTTAGGGTGTTGGGTAGCCCAAGGCCCTTCCGAGAACAGCACAGAGCTCCTCCAAAACTTTGAAACCTGCTTGAAGGATCATGAGACTTAGTAACTAGGGGTTATAATTGAGGTAGCCATACTTATAATTACTTATAACCCCAATTAGTGTACTTATAACCTAACTTACTAAGTCCCCTGATCCTCCAAGTAGTCTCCAATCCCGAAGCCCGCAGCCGTAGCAAACTCCCAACCTCCCCAGCAACAGATGCACTAATCAGAAGAACACAGACTAGTCGCAGTTGAAGGCAGGTTTGCAAGGTAAGAGAAACGAAGCCACAAGTGAAATTCATGACTAGCTTTTCTAAAGGAAGAAAAGAAGCGCGCCTTTTTGGAGGAAGAAGCGAAGTGTTTAAAGGAAGAAAGTAAACGCGCCTTTTCTCAAATAAAGAAGAATCGAAACCCTAAACCCTAAACCCTCAACCCTGAACCCTAAACCCTCAACCCTACGGGGGACCTGCCGAGATGCTGCCGAAGATGGGGGTGGAGGAGAGCGAAGAGGACTGACCACTGGTATTGGGGGAGCTAAGGAGCCAGGGATGATGAAAATCCCTACTAAATAAGGAGCTAAAGAGCCAATGGAACCTCAAAACCACTGGTTAGAGGAGAAGAAGCGAAAAGAGCCCACCGAGCCGGCTATGGTCCTGGAGGCTGGCCCTTGGTTTATTTTAGGGTTTAGGGGTTAGGGGTTAGGGGTTTAGGGTTTAGGGTTTCTCTCTCTCTCTCTCTCTCTCTCTTTCTCTCTCTCTCTCTCTCTCTCTCTCTCTCTCTCTCTCCCTCTCTATCTCTATCTCTATCTCGATCTGTATGTCCCCACAAATAACGAGTTGTTGTATGCAGAAACCCAGAGGTGCGGCTTTAGGATTTGTCTTGGATTCGTCTTTTTCTTCGGTTTCAGGCCTCAGAAAAGTTTTGAGCAGTGCTATTATGAGACTGACTATGATTGTTTATTCATGTTTTAGATTGGAGTGCTAAGCTCAATGTGGTGATCTTCTTGGAGGGACTTATGGTTTGTAGCTTTGCTTCATTGTTTTGCGTGTTGGGGTGTTTTTTGTTTCGTGTGTGTCATATTTGTTGGGGGGAGGGGTAGGCTTGGTTGAGGTCGTGTCTGTTTTGTACATGGTTTCAGTTCAGGTCCAGTTTTGCTTAGTGACTGTTTTTTCAATTGAAATGCCGGTCTCGGTACTCTTTGATCCTAAGTTTACGAGTATCCTTCAGCTTCGACAGTGCCTTCGGAGAAGTGATACGCGCAGTGTTCAGATAGCGGACATACCACCAAGACCAAGAGGCCAAAGCTCAAAATCTTCCCAGACCCAACCCCCCCCCCCCCCCCCCTCAAAAATCAAACAAGCAGGCGCCCTTTGCTCTACGTTACGCTCCCTCCCTTTTTTTCTTCCATGCAGGTTCGTGGCGATCTCGTGGTGGTGAGAGCAGGAAAAGGCCTGTTCACGCAGGACGGTTTCGCTGCCACTGCTGCTGCTGCTGCTGCTGCTACCGCTACCTCCACTACTCCTGCTGGCTACTGCTCCGGCTACTGCTCCTTCCGCTTCTCCTGCTCCTGCTGCTGCTCCTGCTACTGGTGGTGCTGCTGCTGCTGCTACTACTGCGCTTTTACTCCTGTGCTCTCCGCTATTGCTGCGACGGCCATGACGACGACGACCACTTCTTCTACCGCGACGAACACTACCATGTTACGCTAGTGCCACAGCTGATGGTTCTTGCTCTGCGACGACTCCTCCCTACTAGCTGTACTCGTACTCGCACCCGTCTGATGAGCAGAAGCAGCAGCACCGACAGCAGCCGAGGAGGAGTAGCAGTAGTAGTAGCCGTATAGCCATCAGGTGGAGTAGCAGGAAGAGGCACGGCAGCAGTGGAAGTGCCATGAGGGATGACGACAACTATTACTCGGTTCGAACTCGTTGTTGTGCTAGTTATATGCCACCAACCATCACCCCAAGCTCTAAATCCTGAACGCCCTAAGCCCCTCAACCCTAAGCCCTGAATCGTCGTTCTTTTTGCTTGCGCAGTATGTGGTTCGTGTGTCTTGCGGGGGGGTCAAGATCGACATGAGTCGTAAGCGGCTCCGAGAATGTAAGAGGGTGTAGGGTTGGGTTTAGCCCAATAATCACTAGCAGTAGTTGTTTGTCCTGGTCCGCATAAAATCGTAGTACAGCCTGTCTCCCTTCCCAACAAACTTTATGCCAACGAGTCAAGCCTCTATATTAGTCGTCATCCTCGAAGTTATAGTTCAGTTTTCCGTAAACCCTAAACCCTAAACCTTGAGCAGCGACCTCCAATCAGAGTGGCTTGTCTCGGACCGTGAGCTCCGCCCGGCTTAGCAGTTCATCACCCACCTATATTTTGTTTTCCGTCGTTGTCCTATTACCTACTTGGAAATTATATATGCAATGGGTTAAACCTATTAAACCAAAGAAAGACCTCAATGGAGACTAGAGGTAAGCAATAAACACTCGGAGGGGCTGAGGACTTAGTAAGTAGGTTAGAAGCAGAGTTATAATTGGGGTAACTGCACTTAGGGTACTTATAACTCTACTTATAACCTACTTACTAAGTCCACTGCCCCTCCAAGTAGGGTTTAGATCCTTAGGGTTTAAGGGTCAAAATTAGGACAGGGATATCCCATCTAAATCCCCTGGCCTTATAATGAAGCCCATTAAGGTAGGGATATCTCCTTATGCTTATGTGCTTCTTGGCCCCTACTCTACGCTCTTATGTTCGGCCCTTTGGTTGCAGGACACGCCGGGGCAAATTGCCTGTACTGACAGTCACCGGCTCAGCTTTCCAAGTCTGATGGTTTTTGGGTTTAGGGTTCAGGGAGCCTAGGAAACGGAAAGTTTCGCGGCCTATATGGGGGTTTCCGAAAATTAGGGATACCTTGCTTTGGGGTCCTTACAATGAAGATCCTACTATTTAGAGCACTATATTGATTAATACCCCAAGGGTCCAAGTACCTAGTGATCATAGACCCTCCAAAATCTTAACCTACATAGCTACTATCCTAAAGCCGAGTACCTAGTTATTGAGTCCTTTGGACCCTTAGGTTTTTGGATAGGTTTGCAACTGCGCTTTTCAACAGGGCTACTGTGGGCAGTTTTCCGGCACAACACCTAGCTTTAGAGCATGATCGCTGGCTTTGTTGTCCCGGGCCTATAGGTTTAAAGTTTATATAGGGTTTAGTGAGTAGGGTTCCGCCGCGGATTTAAGTTGGGTGCATGTGTGGCCAAACAGACGTCGGACTGGTGTACCGTGGAGATGTGTTGCAGGGTGCGGCATGGAGGGGTTTGTGCACTTCTTGGGACATGTAGACGCAGTCTCCATCAGAAGAGTTAAGCGTTGAAGGCTCTTCTGGTCTTAAGCCGGTCCTCTGATCACACTCAGCTGATAGGTGGTAACAGGCATCTTGTGGCCCACCACGAACAACAGCAGCAGCAACAACAACAACAACAACAACAAAAACAAGAACCACCACCACAGCAGCTGCGACATCACCACCTGCAGGGCCCATAAACCCCGTTTAAAGCTATTCAACACGCTGTTGACTTATCAGGCTGCGTTGAGACTCAAGGAAGAGATGTCTCTGTGCTGTGTGGCCCAAGCACGGGAACAATAAGGCCCCTAAACCCCAAACAGCAAACCTTAAGGCACGCCAAGCCAGAGATAAACATGCCTCTGCCGGGTCAGGATTGGGGACTTAGTCCACCCATACCTTTCGCCCGTTTATTACGAGAAGACCCGCCAGGGAACTCGAAGCATGAAGGTTTTCCAGATTTTAAAAGGCATCCATGAGCTAAGAAGGCAACTCTAATTTGCAAAGCCCTTCGAATTCGTAGACAAAGTTAAACCCTTAACTCCTCAACATATATTAATCCTAGGCTCTCACCACTGAATCTTAAATCCTGCATAGATCTTAAGCCCTAAATCCTATTATATACATCCTCAACCCCACTCTTGCTACACCCTAAACCCTAGGGCAAACCCTTGTATCAACTAACCATTGGTATTGGAGGAGCTAAGGAGCCAGGGATGATGATAGTCCCTCCTAAATAAGGAGCTAAAGAGCCCAAGGGAACCCAAAAACCACTGGTTAGTTCAATCCCAAGCCCTAAACCGGACAGCTTCGCCATGGTTGAGCGTCGAGATGTTTCGTTTGGACCGTCGGAGGAGGCCCCACTTGCTATCCATGGTCAACTGGAGGTGTTGCTTATTGGCTGCACGCTCAACTTTTCAACTTTTGGGGTTCTAATAAGGAAGTCGATGCTGAAATGTTCAACTTGTATGTCCTTCAGTTTTGGGCCAGTGAGGTTAGCTCTGGGCCTCAGGATCAAAGCAACATAGGGGCCTTAATAGTTTTTCTTAAGTTTTTTTCGTATAGGAACACTGAACTTAAACCTAAACATCTACTTCTTAGGTAAAAGCCCATTGGGTGCAACAGTCAGAATAGTTGTTGTACTGACGGCTCCGACGACTCAGTCAATAGATCTCTCTGCTTTGTCATGGATTCCTAAACCGTAGGCCCTAATCTTTGAGTAGCCTCAGGGCCCTCGACCTTATACTCTAACCCACCCCCTGTACAACAAGCGACAAGTGGAGTGACCCTAGGCTCCTTCTTGGAGCAACGCACTAAACGTTCCCGTTAAATCGCGGCGTGGACTTCAGGCTAAGCCCTTCAGGGTTCAAGAGTGTAGGGCTTCCAGGGTTTAGGGTTTATAGGGTCAAGGGTTTAGATAAGGGATGATTCGGGCTTCTAGGGTTCAGGGTATATAGAGCTTATCAGGGACCCCCAAAGCACATAAGCATAAGCGTTTTATGGTGATATCCCTACCTTACTTGCCTTCCTTTTGAAGGGTTTTTTGCGGGATATCCCTATCCTTATTCTTGCCTATAAAGTGCTTTTGGGGGCCCTAGCTTAGGGTCTATCGGGCTCATTGGGCTTCATATTGTAAACTCCAGAAAGTTGGAAACCTAATTAAGGACAAATCGTGCTGGGATTCCCTATACTTTGCTCTTAGGGATTGAGGCTATCGAGTTTCCAACTTTTCTTCATTCAAAGGGGACAAGGAGGGACCCTTAATAAGGACCCCTAGGTGTATACCCTTTAGCCATTATATACCCACTATATAGCCCATCATAGGGTAGGGGTCCCCATTAAGGGTCCCTCCTTTTCCCCTTTGATTCATGGGGCTTCAAACCCTAGGTAGTATTATTAGGGAGACCCCTTAAAGGGTACCCCTTCTGAACCCTACTTTTGGCTTTCTTAAAAGGGGCCTTATTGAGAGGGTCTATATCCCCAAGAGCCCCCCTAATCCTAACTCCCTAACCTTCGACCTGGAAGCCGTAAGGAATGGCCTCAGTGGCAACCCCACGGGTGTTATCCTCGACGGCCCGACCACGCCGACGCTTTGTCATAGTTGGGTAACATTTGGCATTTTTATGGGTACTTGAACCCTAAACCGCCCTAAACCCTAACCCAAATAAGGAATAAGAATGTACATTCTTGGTTCCTCTCCCAACAATGAACTAGGACCGAGCTGGGCCGAATGATTCAGGCAGCTCTGGGGCATCATCCGAGTACCTCGGCTCTGGACAGGGTTTAGGGAGTTTAGGGTTTAGGGTTTCCAAAACTCTTCTAGCAAAATCCTGTAGAATCCTAAGGGTCTGAAGGGCCCAATAATTAGGTACTCGGGTTTAGGATAGTAGCTATGTAGGTTACCATTTTGGAGAGTATATGAAAATTATGTGCTTGGACCCTTAGGGGAAGGTGGACAGTCTTTCAAAGCCTTGATAGACACGGCCCCTTGCAAACCCACAAGGCCCTGATGATCCGGCATAGAAACTTAGAAGAACCCTTAGAAGGAACCCCTAAACCCTAGCCCCTACACCCTAAACCCTTAAAGTAAAAGCCAGAAAGTTGGAATATGATTATCCTAAACCCTTTATGGTAAATTATAGGGTCTCCTACCCTGAAACCATATTCCAACTTTCCAAACCCTAGACTGAAGCGAGCTGCGGGCGCTGCGAATAGCAGCAGCGAGCTTGCCGAAGCGTCAGTGAGGCTGGCTCCGGAGCTGGCGCGACAGGCGCAGCGGAGGAGCCCCAGCACCGGCTCAGGTGCTGGCGCATGCGACAGGCATGCTAGCCAATCAGAACTACATGACCCTACCTCCAACCTCGGAGGTTGGTGTCCCTCTCCCTGCCCTGCCCTGCCCCCCCCCCGGGCCTGCCCTGCTTTGCTGGCCTGCTGCTGGCCCTGGCTCTGGCCGCAGGGCGGCCCTGGCCCTGGCCCTGGCGGGCCCTGGCCCTGGCCCTGGCCTGGCCCTGGCCCTCCCTGGATCTGGCGTTGCCTGCTCCGACCCTCCAAAATGATTTTGGCTTGCCTGGCCCTGCCTCTGGCCGTGACTGCCCTGCCCCTGCCCTGCCCTGTTGCCCTGATTTTGGGCCACCGCCTTGAAAAAAACCCTAAACCCGACAAAGGTCATAGACTGGGTGGGCGGGTAGTTGAACCTAGGCGCACACCACAACACACGTCTCGCGTGGTGGTGTGCGCGGAGCATCGACACACCCCTAAACCCTAAACCCTAAGCCCTAAACCCTGAAACCATATTCCAACTTTCTGGAGTTCCCTTTATCCTCGCTTCGGCTGCAGAGCCTTTTGCTCTAGGGCCGAGGACTCAACGACGAAAATTTTTCCAGGTGTTACGGCTTAGGGTTTAGGGTTTAGGGTTTTAAGGGTTTAGGGTTTAGGGTTGTTGTTTTAATTAGAGAGTTGTCCGGTTAAGGGCTATCAGTCTTTTCTGCCGATGTTCGCAGAGCATCTGTGTAAGATTTCAAAATGTACTTAATTACGACTTTGTCTTTGATAACAACTCAGGAAAGAGCCTTGAAAGGGGTCCTTCCAGAGACTCCAATATCCCTTAATTAAGGAATATTCCGTAAATCATATTAGGGATCCTATTTGAATTTAAGGAATATTCCTTAATTAAAGGGATGTTGGAGTCTCTGGGTCATCTTAAGAGCCCTCTTCCCTGGACGAAGTCAGGCACACAGTCCCTCTTCATCAACGACAGCACTGAGCCTTATGAGGCAGCGGAAGGACGGATCCAATATTTGGAGCGCGCCTGGGGGGGCGGTATTAGTTAAGTACCCTTTCCGTCGGAAAAACCTTAAAGACCCTAAACCCCAACACCCTATTCCCTAAACCTTGCAGTTTACGTGGTCTTTGGCTCTCAGCCCTGCACTAGAACCCAGAGCCTTGAAGACCCGAAAGCCTGCAGCCTGAAGCCCAACATGCCTGCATGCCCGAAAGTTCGCAGAGCCATTTCAAGAGTTCTCCTGTAACGCAAGTCATCGGCCCACGTAACTCGTTTTACAGTATTGTTGGTTACCCAAAGGCCCCAAAGTAGTTCCTTTTTGGAGTTCATATATAGAATTCTATAAGGTAATCCCGAAAAGGAACCACTATGGGGCCTCTGGTTACGGCTTCATGACTTAGAGCAGAAGGACACAGCATCCTCAGCCCTATAGCCCAAAGGCGTTTCAACTCAAGAGGATGATTAAACACCCCTAAACCCTAATCCCCAAAAGACTCAACACCAAAAATAACTGAACCTTAGAAGGGCCCCCACCCTGCAATAGTGGTATAATAGGAATACAATAGGGCCCTATAATACAATCCTTATAGTCAGGATTACAGGGTGGGGGCCCCTTCTACCCTAAACTCTAGACATTCCCTATAAAACCCTTTCAAGACGCACGAGGACATCCCGAGCATCCGATCCTGTCCCTTCGCCTTGTACGTCGAAGGGCAGATCTGGAGGCCAAGCTGAAGTTCATGGAGCAGCTGAAGCTGGACGCTGGGTCCTTGTTCAGAGGGTGTAGGGCCTTTTGTTGGGTCTATATAGGGCTTGGGCTTTAAATTTGTATTTAGGCTTTCAGGGTTCACGGTTTAGGGGTTCAGAGGTTGGGGTTTAAGGGCCTCGATAAGAAACTGACAGTACGATGCTTGTTAAAAAACGGTTTAGGGTTTAGGGGCAGCTTGAATTGGAGTCTGAGTCTTTTTTGACACGATCGTTGTTGCTATAATTGAAGGTTTAGGGCTTAGGGTTCAGGGTTAAGGGTTTGTTGTTGGCATTATTATGGCTAATCCCCAGGTAGTACAGGTGTCTGTTTCCTTTTGCCCGCCCCTGGAGCAAAAATGAGGTTAAGAAACCAAGCGTACGCTGTCATAGTCGGGACAGCGTACTTGCTTACCTTGCGATAAGCAACGATCTTAAACAAGAGCCCCTACTCAATCTCCAAACATCAATCCTTATAAATGAAACAGTTCTAAACTCTGAACCCTGCGTAGAACGTAGGCCCTTAACTTAGCAAGAACTCTGTCAATCCTCCACATCCTGGTAAGACCTTAAACCTCAAACCCGAAACCCCAAACCCTAGACCGGGAACCACATACACCGTAAACCTAAGACCCTCAACCCTTGCGACAAGGACCCTATCCACCGAAACCAAATAGGGCCTCAAACCCCAGGCCTTATAAAGCCTCAACCAGCAACCCTATAACCGCAACCGTTACAACAAGAGCCGAGGATTTGTCAAGCAGTGGCGAGCTTGGTGAGGCCGTGGATCAGCCGCTGGGTTCGTGTTAAGAGCTGTAATTCAGTGCTCAGGGTTTTGGTTTAGTTAAGGGTCTGGTAATGTGCAGGGTGGATCATAGTCTGTGATATAGATCCCTATCATGGTGGATTAAAGTAAGTTCTTAACAAGAACGAAGGCTGCATCACGTGGAGAGGCTTACCACCGGGCTAGGCCTCTTGGCTCAGCAATGAAGGTTTAGAGTTTAGAGATGTTTTAGAGTCTAGGGATTCAGGGTTTAGGGATTTCGGGTCGAAGGTTCAGTTTGGTCTGCAGGGGTAGGGTTCAGGGTTTTCTTTCCAGCAACGTATCCACCACTCTATATGACCAGGGATTTCGAACACATAAAGAATGTAACCCCTCGTACAGTCTCTACCAGACCATATGTTAATGCCTTAAACCTCTATTCAAACCATTATAATGCCCATCTATGAAACCTTACTCCCTTCTGAACAAGCCCCCCAAACCTGTCAAAACGCCGGCTCTTCCCTTAGACTAAGGCTCCATGTGCCCATACAGTATATACATTGGCCTTACAGCACCTACGTATATAGGGACCCCTTTGAGGCTTAAGTACATACTATCTGGGCACATGGAGCCTTAGGGTTAGACTGTCTAACCCTACACCCTAAACCCCTAAACCCTAAAGCCCTAAACCCTAAACCCCTAAACCCCTAAACCCTAAACCCCTAAACCTTAAACCCCTAAACCCTAAACACCCTACGACTGGGTCAGGTCACGGCACAGCGCGGGATGGCCCCTGGCCGATGCCTCGACCCGCACGTGAGCGAATCCGGACTTCTCGCCCCCAGCTGCTATCCTGGCTTCTTGTCTCGTCTCTAAGTTCACTTAGGAGTAAATAGAAATATTTTGTAATTTTTTGTTATTATAATCTCTAAGAAACAGCTAAAATTATGATTGTTGCTAGGGTTCTAAGTTGAGTATAGTTTAGGATTTAGGAAGTCGCTAAGGTTTAGGGTTTAGGGGTCTAGGGGTGTCTCTAAGTTTGCTTGGTGTTCTTTTGGTTGGCTCTTAACACTTTAACTTTTTCCGTATTCTATATGAACTATACTAAGTGGGCTAAAAGCTTAACTTTCGGAGGGGTTCAGAAGTCAGCCCAGCCAAGGCTCGAAGAAGATGACGTCTTTGTGCAGGCGGCTAGTTCTCTAAACTAGGGGGTGGGTTTCTTTTGGGAGCTGGTCCTTCTTTTCAGCAGTAGGGAACCAGACCAGCCCTAAAAACTAAATCCTAGAGTTGGGGGGGGTGGGGGTTGCGGGGGGGGGGGGGGGGGTGTGCGGCTTAAATGGGGTATTATCGCCAGCTGAAACTGTGGGTTTTCACGCCTATAGTATTTAATATAGACAGGCAGATGGCGATTATATCCTGGGTCTGTTCGGTGGATGGTCCCGGGCCCGAATTAAATAATTTAAATAATTTAAATAATTTAAATAATTTAAATCCTGGGGAGGGGGTCTGGGGGGGGTTCCGGGGCCCCGGGACCCTCCCCCAGGATTTAAATTATTTAAATTATTTAAATTATTTAAATTGGGGCCGGGAATTAAATAATTTAAATAATTTAAATCCGGGGGCCTCCCCCATATTTAAATTATTTACATTATTTAATTGGGGCCGGGAATTAAATAGTTTAAATAATTTAAATAATTTAAATAATTTAAATCCTGGGGAGGGGGTCTGGGGGGGGTTCCGGGGCCCCGGGACCCTCCCCCAGGATTTAAATTATTTAAATTATTTAAATTATTTAATTGGGGCCGGGAATTAAATAATTTAAATAATTTAAATCCGGGGGCCTCCCCCATATTTAAATTATTTAAATTATTTAATTGGGCCCGGGAATTAAATAATTTAAATAATTTAAATAATTTAAATCCTGGGGAGGGGGTCTGGGGGGGGTTCCGGGGCCCCGGGACCCTCCCCCAGGATTTAAATTATTTAAATTATTTAAATTATTTAAATTAATTAAATTGGGGCCGGGAATTAAATAATTTAAATAATTTAAATAATTTAAATCCTGGGGAGGGGGTCTGGGGGGGGTTCCGGGGCCCCGGGACCCTCCCCCAGGATTTAAATTATTTAAATTATTTAAATTATTTAATTGGGGCCGGGAATTAAATAATTTAAATAATTAAATAATTTAAATAATTTAAATAATTTAAATCCTGGGGAGGGGGTCTGGGGGGGGTTCCGGGGCCCCGGGACCCTCCCCCAGGATTTAAATTATTTAAATTATTTAAATTATTTAAATTATTTAATTGGGGCCGGGAATTAAATAATTTAAATAATTTAAATAATTAAACAATTTAAATAATTAAAATAATTTAAATCCTGGGGAGGGGGTCTGGGGGGGGTTCCGGGGCCCCGGGACCCTCCCCCAGGATTTAAATTATTTAAATTATTTAAGTTATTTAATTGGGGCCGGGGATTAAATAATTTAAATAATTTAAATAATTTAAATCCTGGGGAGGGGGTCTGGGGGGGGTTCCGGGGCCCCGGGACCCTCCCCCAGGATTTAAATTATTTAAATTATTTAAATTATTTAAATTATTTAATTGGGGCCGGGAATTAAATAATTTAAATAATTTAAATCCGGGGGCCTCCCCCATATTTAAATTATTTAAATTATTTAATTGGGCCCGGGAATTAAATAATTTAATTAAATAATTTAAATAATTTAAATCCTGGGGAGGGGGTCTGGGGGGGGTTCCGGGGCCCCGGGACCCTCCCCCAGGATTTAAATTATTTAAATTATTTAAATTATTTAAATTATTTAAATTATTTAATTGGGGCCGGGAATTAAATAATTTAAATAATTTAAATAATTTAAATAATTTAAATATTTTAAATCCTGGGGGAGGGGGTGTGGGCGGGGTCCGGGGCAGGGAGTTAAATAATTTAAATATGGGGGAACCCCCTGGATTTAAATTAATTAATTCCGGGGGTCCCGGCCCTTTTCCAGGATTTAAATTATTTAAATTACTTAAATGGGGCCGGGAAGTAAAACCCCACCTACCCTCCCTCACCCATCCCTGCCACCCACCGACCCTCAGCGCCCACCCAGCGTCCCAACCCCCACCCCCCCTTTCTCCCACTTCACACTCCCTCCACCTGCTGCCCACCCTACCTCCCAAACACCCTCCCACCACCCTCTCACCCACCACTTCAAGGGCTAGGGATCCCACACATCTGCGGGCAAAATCTGGCGGAAGTGATCCGCCACCGAGCAAAAAGCCTGTAAACCAACAGATGTGCGAAATCCGTGGCCCTTTGTTTAATGCGGTATTTACAGGCTTTTTGCTCGGTGGCTGATCACTTCCGCCAGATTTTGCCCGCAGATGTGTGGGGTCCCTGGCCGTTGTTTTAACGCGGTATTTACAGGCTTTCTGCTCGGTCGCGGCTCGCAGGGATTAGGGGACACCCCTTGCGATTTGTGATTTTGGAACTTATTTGTTATAACAACCTTTAGGGGGAACACCACGACTTGCGATCTGTGATTTTGGGATCTGAGTTCTTACACACCTTCCCTCCACCTCCTGCCCACCCTACCTCCCAAACACCCTCCCACAACCCTCTCACCCACCACTTCAAGGGCTAGGGATCCCACACATCTGCGGGCAAAATCTGGCGGAAGTGATCCGCCACCGAGCAAAAAGCCTGTAAATACCGCATTAAAGACAGGGCCAGGGATTTCGCACATCTGTTGGCAAAATCTGGCGGAAGTGAGCAGTCGGTACTTCCGCCAAAATTTGCCAACAGATGTGCGAAATCCGTGGCCCTTTGTTTAATGGTATTTACAGGCTTTTGGCTCGGTGGCGGATCACTTCCGCCAGATTTTGCCCGCAGATGTGTGGGATCCCTGGCCGTAGTTTTAACGCGGTATTTACAGGCTTTCTGCTCGCAGGGATTAGGAGGACACCCCTTGCGATTTGTGATTTTGGAACTTATTTGTTATAACAACCTTTAGGGGGACACCACTTGCGATCTGTGGTTTTCGGTTCTGAGTTTTCACAAAACCTTAGGGAGACACCCCTTGCGATCTGTGATTTCGGGATCTGAGTTCTTACAAAACCTTGGGGGGGACACCCCTTGCGATTTGTGGCGTTGGAATTCATTTGTTATAAAAAGCTTTAGGGAAACACCCCTTGCGATTTATTGTTTTGGAACTTGTTGTTTCAACGAACCCTTAGGGGGATATCCCTTGCGATCTGGGTTTTTGGGATCTGAGTCTGTACAAATCTTGGGGCGACACCCTTGTGAGCTGTGATTTTATCTGTGTTTTTGCAGAACTTCAAGGAAAAAGATTTCTTGCCGACGCAGGGGTAGATGGAGCTCTCTTGTCTTTGGTGAAGTTGAAGGGGCCTGTCTGCTGTGCTGAGATGGACCTCTCTCCCGTCTCATTACATGGGAGGAAGCTCTCAATCATTTCTTGTGGAGGATGAAGTAGAAGACTTTTCTTTTTGGAAGCAAGGGGAGCCCTGGCTTCTCTTGCTAGGAGCGAAGTCTCTTCAATCTTCTTAAGATAAAAGCGACTTACCAAGAGGTAAAGTCTCTCTCTGCTCAAATAAAGCTCTCGTCGCTTACCAAAATATCTTGGAGTGAGTTCTCTTCCTGCTTCACAGCAGGGTAAGGTAGAGGGCTTGGGCTTCTCGTTTCGTTTTGAAGGCCACGGGGAGGACTGGCTTTTCTCTTGTCAAAGTTTGAAATTTGGAAAAGCTCTATCCTTCCTTCCTGATCGTAAGCTCCCTTCCAAGTTTTTTTCTCGAGGAGGAGATGTTCAGGAGCTGTCGCTCCTGACGAACAGAGAAAGAAGTTTTCTTCTTATCGCCAGAGAGGCAGTCGGAGCTCCCTTCTTTCTCGTGATGCGTTGTTCTTTTGCCACGAACAACCTTTGGGGACTGTTTTCTTGCTTCGGAGCATGAGGTCTTTTCTTTTGAAGGCTGGCGACTGAGAAAGGTATAAGAAATCTCCTCTAGAGAAATCTGCTCTTGCCAAGAATAACTAGGAATGAGAACGCTCTGTCCTCACCTCTTGAGAGATATCTCTCTTCTATCCCTTGGAGAGGAAGTGGTGGCGACATGGAGAAGTTAGAAGGGTTTCTTTCTTGAGTCAGAGGGTGGGAGAGGGCTGCTCATGTCTTGTTGAAGGCTGAGGGGAGGATCGGACTCTTCTTTTGTCGATTGAGAGAGCTCTGTCCTCACTTCTTGAGAGCTATCTCTCTTCTATCCCTTGAGGAGGAAGAGGGGACGACAAGGAGCTCCTCTCTCTTCTTGTCGACGAAGAGGCAGCCGCAGTTCTTATTGAAACTGGAGATGCTTTGAGCCCTGTCTTCTTCGACTAGAAGCGAGCTCCCTTCAATTCTCTTCAGAGGAGATGGAGACCTACCAAGAGGTAGAGGGGCTCGCTGCTAGAAATCAGCTGAATGACTTGGAGGGACTCTCTCCGTGTTTTCGTTGAGGTTGGGGGAATCCCTACCGTTTCTTCTTGAGCGTCAAGAAAATTACAGGATCTCTTTCCACTGCCAAGAGAGAAAGGTGGTTTCTTCTTCTTGTGCGTTGCCCTTTTCCATCTTTTGAAAAGGTAAGGGAAGTAATCAGGATCTCTTTCCACTGCCAAGAGAGAAAGGAGGTTTCTTCTTCTTGTGCGTATGCTGTTCTCCATCTTTTGAAAAGGTAAAAGAAATGCTCAAGATCCAACCCCTTATGAAGAGAGAAAGGAGTTATCTTCTTTCCGGCCGATGGGTAAACGGAGACCTTTGAATTCTCGTGAAGTTGGAGGGGCCTGTCTGCTGGGCTGAGATGAAGCTCTCTTGCGTCTCATTACATGGGAGGAAGCTCTCAGTGATTTCTTGTGGAGGATGAGGTAGAAAATCTTTCTTTTTGGAAGCTAGGGGAGCTCTGTCCTTTCTTGCTAGGAGCGAGGTCTCTTCAGTCTTCTTAAGACGAAAAGGCGACATACCAAGAGGTAAGAAGGATGCTCTCTTCTGCTGCCACAAATCACCTGGGGACTGCCTTCTTGTGTTTTGGAGCATGAGGTCTTTTCCTTTTAAATGCTGAGGGACGACCAGATGTCTCTATTTGAAAATTGGGGGGAGCTCCACCCTTTCTTCTTGAGTTGGGGGGAGCTCCACCCTTTCTTCTTGAGTGTATGCTCTCTTCCATCTTTAAAACGGCGACGGAAACAATCAGGACCCCCTCCCCATATCAGGAAAGAAAGGAGGTCTCTTCTTGCCGAAGGGTAAACGGTGCCCTCTTCTTTCTCATGAAATTAGAGCGGCCTGTTTGCTTTGTTGAGATGGCGCTTTCTTTTGTACCATTAGTTTGGAGGACGCTCTCAGTCTCTTCTTGTCGAGGATGAGGCAGAGGATTTGTCTTTTTGGAAGCTAATTCAGAGCATGGGGTAGAGGGCTGCTCATGTCTTGTTGAAGGGTGAGGGGAGGATCAGACTTTTCTTTTGAAGATTGAGCGAGCTCTGTCCTCACTTCTTGAAAGCTATCCCTCTTCTATCCCTTGAAGAGGAAGAGGGGACGACAAGGAGCTCCTCTCTCTTCTTGTCGACGAAGAGGCAGCCGCAGTTCTTATTGAAACTGGAGATGCGTTGAGCCTTGTCTTCTTCGACTAGAAGCGAGCTCCCTTCAATTCTCTTCAGAGGAGATGGAGACCTACCAAGAGAGAGAGGAGCTCGCTGCTAGAAATCAGCTGAATGACTTGGAGGGACTCTCTCCGTGTTTTCGTTGAGGGGTGGGGCATCGCCGCCCTTTCTTCTTGAGCGTATGCCCTTTTCCATCTTTTGAAAAGGTAAGGGAAGTAATCAGGATCTCTTTCCACTGCCAAGAGAGAAAGGAGGTTTCTTCTTCTTGTGCGTATGCTGTTCTCCATCTTTTGAAAAGGTAAAAGAAATGCTCAAGATCCAACCCCTTATGAAGAGAGAAAGGAGTTATCTTCTTTCCGACCGATGGGTAAACGGAGACCTTGAATTCTCGTGAAGTTGGAGGGGCCTGTCTGCTGGGCTGAGATGAAGCTCTCTTGCGTCTCATTACATGGGAGGAAGCTCTCAGTGATTTCTTGTGGAGGATGAGGTAGAAAATCTTTCTTTTTGGAAGCTAGGGGAGCTCTGTCCTTTCTTGCTAGGAGCGAGGTCTCTTCAGTCTTCTTAAGACGAAAAGGCGACATACCAAGAGGTAAGAAGGATGCTCTCTTCTGCTGCCACAAATCACCTGGGGACTGCCTTCTTGTTTTGGAGCATGAGGCTTTTTCCGTTTAAATGCTGAGGGATGACCAGATGTCTCTACTTGAAAATTGGGGGAGCTCCACCCTTTCTTCTTGAGCGTCCTCCCCTTTTCAAGAAAGAATGGAGGTCTCTTCTTGCCGAGGGGTAAACGGGGCCCTCTTCTTTTTTGTGAAGTTGGAGCGGCCTGTTTGCTATGTTGAGATGGCGCTTTCTTCTGCCGCCTTAGATTGCTCTTAGTCTCTTCTTGTCGAGGATGAGGCAGAGGATTTTTTTTGGAAGCTAATTCAGAGGATGGGGTAGAGGGCTGCTCATGTCTTATTGAAGGCTAAGGGGAGGATCAGACTCTTCTTTTGAAGATTGAGACAGCTCAGTCCTCACTTCTTGAAAGCTATCTCTCTTCTATCCCTTGAGGAGGAAGAGGGGACGACAAGGAGCTCCTCTCTCTTCTTGTCGACTGAGAGGCAGCCGGAGTTCTTTTTTCCCGTGAAGTTGGAAGGGTTCTCTGCTCATTTGAGATGCTGCGGTAGAGGATGTGCCAAGGGATCTCTTCCTTACCTTTTTGGGGAAAAGAAGCTCATTTCTTGCGGATGACGAAGCAGCGAGCTCCCTTCATTTATCGTCAGAGGAGATGGTGGGAGGAAGCTCTCAGTGATTTCTTGTGGAGGATGAGGTAGAAAATCTTTCTTTTTGGAAGCTAGGGGAGCTCTGTCCTTTCTTGCTAGGAGCGAGGTCTCCTCAATCTTCTTAAGACAAAAAGGCGACATACCAAGAGGTAAGAAGGATGCTCTCTTCTGCTACCACAAATCACCTGGGGACTCCCTTCTTGTTTTGGAGCATGATGTCTTTTCCTTTTAAATGCTGAGGGATGACCAGATGTCTCTACTTGAAAATTGGGGGAGCTCCACCCTTTCTTCTTGAGCGTCCTCCCCTTTTCAAGAAAGAAAGGAGGTCTCTTCTTGCCGAGGGGTAAACGGAGCCCTCTTCTTTCTCGTGAAGTTGGAGCGGCCTGTTTGCTTTGTTGAGATGGCGCTTTCTTCTGCCCCTTTAGATTGCTCTTAGTCTCTTCTTGTCGAATCCTCGAGGCAGAGGATTTTTTTGGAAGCTAATTCAGAGGATGGGGTAGAGGGCTGCTCATGTCTTATTGAAGGCTAAGGGGAGGATCAGACTCTTCTTTTGAAGATTGAGACAGCTCAGTCCTCACTTCTTGAAAGCTATCTCTCTTCTATCCCTTGAGGAGGAAGAGGGGACGACAAGGAGCTCCTCTCTCTTCTTGTCGACTGAGAGGCAGCCGGAGTTCTTTTTTCCCGTGAAGTTGGAAGGGTTCTCTGCTCATTTGAAATGCTGCGGTAGAGGATGTGCCAAGGGATCTCTTCCTTACCCTTTTGGGGAAAAGAAGCTCATTTCTTGCGGATGACGAAGCAGCGAGCTCCCTTCATTTATCGTCAGAGGAGATGGTGGGAGGAAGCTCTCAGTGATTTCTTGTGGAGGATGAGGTAGAAAATCTTTTTTTTGGAAGCTAGGGGAGCTCTATCCTTTCTTGCTAGGAGCGAGGTCTCCTCAATCTTCTTAAGACGAAAAGGCGACATACCAAGAGGTAAGAAGGATGCTCTCTTCTGTTGCCACAAATCACCTTGGGACTCCCTTCTTGTGTTTTGGAGCATGAGGTCTTTTCCTTTTAAATGCTGAGGGATGACCAGATGTCTCTACTTGAAAATTGGGGGAGCTCCACCCTTTCTTCTTGAGCGTCCTCCCCTTTTCAAGAAAGAAAGGAGGTCTCTTCTTGCCGAGGGGTAAACGGAGCCCTCTTCTTTCTCGTGAAGTTGGAGCGGCCTGTTTGCTTTGTTGAGATGGCGCTTTCTTCTGCCCCTTTAGATTGCTCTTAGTCTCTTCTTGTCGAGGATGAGGCAGAGGATTTTTTTGGAAGCTAGTTCAGAGGATGGGGTAGAGGGCTGCTCATGTCTTATTGAAGGCTAGGGGGAGGATCAGACTCTTCTTGTGAAGATTGAGACCAAGCCGCCGAAGAGTCTGCCGGCGACTTCTCGCTCGAAGCGCTGGCCTGGAAGCCGCATATCGATCAGAACGATCGGCGGCCGCGTTGGCCTTAGCGCGGGCTCAGCCACGACATTTCAGCATCGCACACGAAACCCGGACAGCTCAGTCCTCACTTCTTGAAAGCTATCTCTCTTCTATCCCTTGAGGAGGAAGAGGGGACGACAAGGAGCTCCTCTCTCTTCTTGTCGACTGAGAGGCAGCCGGAGTTCTTTTTTTCCCGTAAGTTGGAAGGGTTCTCTGCTCCTTTGAGATGCTGCGGTAGAGGATGTGCCAAGGGACCTCTTCCTTACCCTTTTGGGGATAAGAAGCTCATTTCTTGCGGACTTGCGGATGACGAAGCAGCGAGCTCCCTTCATTTATCGTCAGAGGAGATGGAGACTTACAGGGAGGTAGAGGAGCTCGCTGCTAGGAATCAGCTGAATGATTTGGAGGGACTTTCTCCGTGTTTTCGTTGAGGGTTGGGGGGAATCTCCACCCTTTCTTGATCCGTCTGTCTACATTCCAAGGAGCCCCACCAATGTCGATGAGGCGAGACGAAAGATTCTATACTTGTATTGAGTATGTATAGAGAGACGTCGGTCCAGTACAATCGCGATATACCTACGTCTATAGTATGCAATGAAAACCCACAGTTTCAGCTGGCGACTATATCCTGTTTAAGCCGGCCACGGGGGGGGGGTGGAAATGCAGCAAAGCCTTGAATACTACAGTCTCCTCAGGAATTATGTTTTTTCTTTTGTTCATATAGAACCCAAGAGAAGACAAAACATGTTGCTGATATTATGGGCTAAAGGAGGTATAGCTGAAGCTTCTGGCCTTTGGGTTTGGACCTTACTTTTCAGAAGGCGTTCAGGGTTGGGGTTGAGGGAGGAGGCTTTAGGCCAGTCGGTGTTGTTGCATGTGCTTTTTGAGTATTACTTGAAGGATCATGGGACTTAGAAACTAGGCTGATAATTAAGGTAACTATACTTATAACCTATACTTATAACTACTTACAACCCCAATTAAGGTACTTATAACCTAGCTTACTAAGTCCCCTGATCCTCCAAGTAGGGATTTGAAGCTTTAAGGTTTGAGGCTCATGGCTTTGTTTCACGTGGCAGCTTCGTAGTTTATGATGTTGGATTTAGGGTTTAGGGTTTAAGGTTTAGGGTTCAGGGTAGTCTATGATGTTGATTCTGAATTTCTCGTGCGTATCGGGATCAAAGAGGATTCTCCCCAAGTTAGCCACGCTCCCTGCACCCCGAACCCTTGAACAGTAGACCCGAAACCCTAAACCTGAACCCTTGAAGGACGTCCTCGTCATGGTGGCCGCCTCTGACGCGTCGGCAGAACTGCATGCCTGGGCCACACGAGCGCTGCTTTCGGGCGCCCAGAACCAATTAGCTCCGAGGCACCTCGTGGTCGATGAGGGCCTATGGTTGCTAAACCGGCTAAACCTTCAAAACAAAAGAAGCTTAACACCCTAGCCCTATAGATCAAGAGTCACCCTACACCGAAACCCTATACCCAAAAGAAACATGAATCAAACAAGCTACCCTGAACCCGAAACCCACAAGAGACCTACAGCCCGAAGCTATATGCTCGATAACTTTCAGAAGTCTCCTCCGTCGATTTCCATCGCAGGCCAGGCCTGTTAGCCCGACTTGCACGAGATACGGAGCTGAAAACCCTCCCGTGGCTTCAAGATTTCCTCTGGTTTGGAAGGACGGGTTAATGGGCTTTAGGGTCAGAGTTCAGGGTTTGGTGACTTAGTTCAGCGTAGAGAGACTCCCGACTTACATCCTTGACTTGACTTATACTTCGCACCGCTGAAGACTTCGCAGAGAGAATGGAGAGTCTTTGGGCAACAGCGGGTTTGACTTAGCGGTCTGGGTACGGAGTAATTATCTTTCCGCCTAACAAAATTCTCAAGACATCTGCGAGTGCTCAATCGGTGTCAGGTGGGAGTTTCTGAGACAGCCTGGCGCCCCTAAGATGGAGCACCCGACATAGCAGGACTATAGTGCAAGGACCCCTCTAGACTTTGCAAGAAGCCTCGATCTGCCCCAAACCCATGGCCAGTAGAACCTCCAAAGCACAATTTCAACATTTCGGGCTCTTTCTTCGCTATTTCTACAATAAACCCTCATAAAGTTGGAGACCGGATTAAGGACAAATAGTGCTGGGGCTCCCAATGCATTACGCTTACTGATTGAGGCTATTGGGTTTCCAACTTTTAGGCGTCTACTGTACATGGTAGGATGCTCGCATAGGAGAAGTTGCTCTGGCATCCCAACGTAAGAAACCTCGCGAAGGCCGAAACCCCTTAATTAAGGAATATACCTTAACTGATATCAGGGATGCTATTTTAATTTACGGTATATGCCTTAATTAAGGGATTTTTGGAGTCTCTGGGAACCGCAGGAACGTCGACTTTCTCCTCCACTCAGCAGCCAAATCTGCTGAATCGTCTTGCAACGTCAGCTTAAAGCAAGCCCACGAAGATGAGTTTGCGGAGCGGGAGCTACTTAACGACGGATGTGCGCTTGAGGGTTTATGGGTTTAGGGTTTAGCGGTTTAGGGTATAGGCACGGTATAGGGTAAAGTGGTAGACCGCTAGTGTGAGGGCTCTTAGGCTGACTTGTAAGGAGTTTTGCATAATCTCAGGACCCTGCTTTCTGTGTAAAGGGAACTCCAGAAAGTTGGAATATGGTTTCAGGGTAGGATACCTAATTATAATTTACCATAAAGGGTTTAGGATAATCATATTCCAACTTTCAGGCTTTTACTTTAGACGTTATGCTGGATCTCTGATTTGTCCGACACTTTCACGGCAAAGGCTTCAGAAGTAGAATACAGAACAATGGCAAAGAAGGCATCCAACTATTAAGTATGGGTTAAGATAAGGCGTTCCATTTTACGGACCCTCCTCATGGTCTCGGTTACGCCCCTGCGATCGCGGAACCCTAGTGGAGCCAACTCGTCGACGGCCTTTGCAGCTACATGCTTTTCGGTTTCGGGTTTACGAGTCCAACTTAGTTTAGTACTTTAGGAGTTTGGGAGTTAGGGTGTAGGGTTGAGGGTCTGTGAGGTTGTTGAAGATCTGTCTGGCACATTGCGGCTGTGTGATCCAATTCACACGATGGTCAGCAGATGCCGAGATGGTCCACCTCTCCCTTCAGAACGATGTCAGGGCTTTTCGCTTTGCTTCAGAACGCATCCGAGACGATTTTGCGAGCCTTGCCGTCAACTGAGTTTACTTCTTCCAAAGGATTCACCAAAGTCCTATTCTAATCATTACAGGGGCCACATGTTTAAATCCGCACGCTTTTTCTCCTTGCTAGTTTATTTCGGCGACGGACCGCCGTTGAATGCTCTTTGGGACTGTTGATGATATAAATCCTGCATTACCTTGAGGTCCCTAGACTTTGGGATTTATGGTACATTCCTCATTATGGGTAATGCCCCTAAACCCTAAACCCTAAACCCTCAAACCCTAAACCCCTAAACCCTAAACCCTAACCCCTAAACCCTAAACCCTAAACATCAACCCGAGGACCGCCCTGGCCGTAGTAGCTCGCAATGGCATGCTACTGGAGTTTGCCTCTACGAGATTGCGAGCCGACCGAGCGCTGATCAAGGCTGCTGTTTGCCAGAACGTCTTCGCCTTCCAATTCGCCAGGCGCTGCAAATTGTTCGAGTCTTCGGGTAGTATGGGGGGCCTCAATGATATATTAATGCTATTGTTCGGGGTTCCTCGTTGTAATTATAGTATGATGGGCCCCCAAACCCTATTCTAATTATGAAGGCCCCGAAATAGTAAGGTTCGGGCTTCAAAGGTGCGCATCAAGCTTTTGAAGCGAGAGTTTAGGGTTGAGGACAGTGTGATCCCGCCCCGCTTCGAAATGTCGCCTCAGGTTCTTCAATATGCCTTAGTAGCTGAGTAGGTGTGTTCTCCTCCTACCGTAATTGCAAAGGTCAACCTTTTCTTGGGGCTAAGGTACTCAGCCCCTAAAAGATGCAGAGAATATGGGATCGAGCAGAAACCACTAAAATTTGGAGGATCCTGTTTCTAGTAACTCGAAAATTAAGAAAAACCTTAGGTACTGCCCCCGTACAGTAGGAGTCTATAATAGGGCTACTATTAAGGTCCTAATATATGGGTGGTTGTCAAAATTATGGTCCCTTTTTGGGTCCCTATTATAATACGGCACCTAATATTTAGGGTGCCCAAAAAGGGACCTCAACAGCTACCCATATCATTATTATGAATATTATTCAATTATTGGGCGGCGTACCCAAGAAACCCCCTGCTTTCGAGAAGCCTCCCTTCCGGGGGCCATTTCTGGGAGGCCATTTGAACAGTTGCCAAAGAACATGACTTTATCATGGTTGGGAAACATTTTCCCTTTTTCATGGGTACATAAACCCAATAATAAGGAATAAACATGTACATTTTTAATCCTAGCCCAACTATGAATTAGATGAGAGTGCAAGTAACTTCTTAGAGTACATTGACCGACGACACTTTACGAAACCGGAGGAGGCTGAATTGGTAAAAAGGGAGCTGGAACAGCATGGGAGAAGGCACGAGAGTCGCAGATGAAGCCTGGACGTAGTTCGCAAAGCCCAAAATCCTAAATCTTACATCATACCCGTGGTCTCCATTGTAGTTCCTTTTTTTGGTTTAACCACTTTTATATGTAGGATCCTAGAAGGTAACCACCCCAAAAATGAACTACAATGAAGAAACCCGTTCGACGAACCCTGTCGTCGCGTTGCAAAGAGGCTCGAGACAGCCGATCTGCGGACCTTTGCTGCCACAGAGGTCTTGAAGAAGCTGGGGGTGACAGGTGCCAAACCCTAAACTTGGGTTCAGGCTTTAGGGTTTGAGGGTTTTGGGTTTGAGGGTTTAGGGGTCTAGGCTTAGGATTCAGGGGTTTAGGGGTTTGAGGGTTTGGGGGGTTTAGGGGTTTGGGGTTTTGGTGTTTAGGGTTTGGGGTCTTGAAGAAGCTGGGGGCTGGGGGTGCCAGGAGGAGTCTTGGGGCTTAGGTTTCAGGATTTGGGGCTGTCCGGTTTTGTGCCGAATTTGGGCAGCATTTTGCAGGGCTTGAGGGCTGTTTGCTACTTTCCTGCCTTTTTCATAGGATTTCTATAGTCTCCTTAGGATTTTCTCATTTTTGTTCATGTAAAACCCAAGAGAATATTGAACGTATGATTCTTACTATGGTTCTAAGGGGGGGTCCCTTATTCCCTTTTTGTAGTCCTAGGTTCCTTATAAAGTTACCTAATACCAAGCCCTTTTCATTCCTAGGTTACTGAGCATCCTAGTCCTAGTTTTTCATGAATTCGGAGCTAAACCCAAACCCTAAACCCTAAACCCAGCCCTGAAGCAGGAGACAACGTAGCCCACGACGTTCGACAGCACGCCGCAGAGGCGTGCCTTCGCCTGCATTTCACTCTGTGAGCCACAGGGAGCCAAGCTCTGAGTTCACGAGTTTTAGGGGTTTAGGGATTTTTGGTTTAGGGTATACCTGGACCCCAAAAGCATGTAGAATAGTGGCCTTGTAGAGGTTTTGGACCATTACTTTACCTACTTTTGGGGAGTTTAGGTAGGGCTGTCGCTATTTTCATCAGTAGTACTACACCTTACAAGTGTTTCTTTTTTGAGTTTAGAATTTCAGGGTTTCTGGATGTGGGGCTCTCAGATGTAGAGTCGGGGCCAGGGTGTCGGGCGTTAGGGTTTAAAGCCATTCTAGGGTGGTAGTTGTAATTCTGGTGGCATGATGTGCGGCTTAGGATATAGTATAGGGTCTTTAGATGCAGGTGTCGATATCGGCAGTTGTTGTTCAACTTTGGATCTACGAGAAATGATGTTTGGGATGTTTTTTCAAGTTGCAAAGTTGTGGCTTTTTAGCTCTATTCTCGAAGTCAACAAGACCCTAACCTGAACCCCAAGTCCCAAACCCTCGACCCGGAGACTCCAATATCCCTTAATTAAGGAATACTCCTTAAATTATAGTAGGATCCCTAATCTGATTTATGGAATATTCCTTAATTAAGGGATATTGGAGTCTCTGGGGACCCCACAGCAAGGTACAAGATGTGCAGGACCTGCCCATCTTTGCTTCAGGCGCTGCAAACACTTCTTCGAGAAGCGGACACCTCGGACGCCGGTTGGTTGAGAGAGTGCCTGGTCCTCTCTTTGCTGTGTTCTTCTTCGAGTTTCTTCTTGTGTGGTTTAGTTATCTGAGTGGTTTTAGGGTTTATTAGGGTTTAGGGTTTAGAGGTTTAGGGGCTAGGGTTTAGGGGATTACTGATCTGAGGGCTGCCAGGGTTTATGGCTCATGGTTAGGTTGCTAAGTCATCTCATTTTGACACAGGGGCTTGAGCTGCACGCTCTAAACTTATGAAGCTTGTTGTATATGATATGCACTCCATGGTTTCTACTCTAGTAAGCAGTCCGAATTGCATGTAGGGTTTAGAATTTACGGTTCAGGGTCTGTAGGGCCATAGCTTCTGTTGGTATTCTGGACAATGGGCAGCTACGACATTTTGGATAGGTAGGTCATTTTGATCTGCACCTGGTTCATTGCCGGTTGTAGCCATTCCAATCTTCGTATTCATCGAACACCTTGAGTGTGTTACCCTAAGCCCTAAGCCTTATATGGGAGTTTCCGAAATGAGGGGCACCTTGTTATTTTGGGGTCCTAATAAGAAGGATCCTACTTTGTAGGGTAGCTATCTTAGGGTCCCCTATGTTCGGAAACCCCCATATTCCAAACCTCAAACTCAACAACCCTTACCGTAACTCCAAACCCAAAGGGTACCTTCATAGTAGAATGTAGAGTCTCTATATTAGGAATTATGATTTGGGGAAGTATCCCTGTCCCTAAACCCCTAAACCCTAAACCCTATAAACCTGGTGTTCCACCTAACCTTCGGGGCAGACGGAAAAGAGGGTTCAAAAAAACAAACCTATAAACCCTGAACCTGAAGCCCCTAGACATAACAGTACTTTGGACCCTTTGGGAAACTGATGATGGCCATATCAGGTTCTGCCTCGAAGGCGTGAAGCAACCTGACGGCATGGAATGACATGGATCCTTATTGGCTGTAAACTCAACTTTTCAATTTTCGGGGTTCTTATAAGGTAGTCGATTCTGAAAGTTTCAACTTTTATGAACTTTTGGGGTTCTTATAAAGTAGTCTCTGAAAGTTTCAACTTTTATTTCCTTCAGTTCTGGGCCAGTGAGGATCTTCCTACCCATAGGCCCCATACTTAAAGGGTGCGTAGCAAGTTAGGGTTCTTAAAAGGGCTTCTTAAAGGGATCTGTAGGGGTTCCTTAAAGGGATAGGGTTTAGGGTTTAGGGTCTACTCAAAGGATCATGGGACTTAGTAACTAAGGTCATAATTAAGGTAACCATACTTATAATTGCTTACAGCCCCAATTAAGGTACTTATAACCTAACTTACTAAGTCCCCTGATCCTTCAAGCAGTAGTTCCTTTTTGGGAGTACCTTATAGATCCACAAAAAGGAACTACTTTGGGGCCTATGGGTAGACCCGTCTTCTACCCTCTATTAGACCCTAAATACCCCACTATTACGAATGGACCACTATTTGAGGGTACAAGGAGGGTCCTGGTTGTCGTTTTTTCTTGCGGTGTGGGGTTTAGGGTCCCCCGACATCAAATACATCCGCACACACTGCACCCCTACGCTCTATAATTTAGAAGCTGCCCCCACCCTGTAATAGTGGCATAATAGGAATATAAGAGGGCCCTATTATAATCCTTACAGTCACAATTACAGGGTGGGGGCAGCTTCTAATCTATGATCCAAAACCTGTGCAGCCCAAGCCTTGGCCTAGCTTCAATTCAATTGCATCCAATGCCACAAAACTCCCCAAACCCTAGACCCTCCAAGCCCAAACACCCACAAGCCCTGAACCGTACTATAGAGGCCTAAACTGAATGATTACCTCTACTGTTTCGGGGGTTCCTTATTATAACCAGAGTATAATATACCCCAAAAGCCTATTCTAATTATGAAGGCCCCTTTATATAGTACCCTTATGGATCCCTTGTAGGAGCCCTTTAAGGAACCCTATTCTAGTTATGAAGGCCCCTATATTCTAGAACCCACTATAGATCCCTTCTAGACCCCTGTAAGGATCCCTTTTAAAGGAACCTGTTCGAATTATCAAGGCCCCTATATTACACCATATTAAACCTTAAACTCCAAACAACCCTAAGCCCTAAACCCTAAACAACCCGAAACCCTAAACAACCCTAAACCCTAAACCGCCCTAAACCCCAAACTCTACCCATATTAGACCCTTTATTTGGTGCTTCTGGAGCTGCTGGGACCAAGGCAAGAGCCTTCCTTTTACAAGGCCCTCTCTGCGTCGGAGCAGCAGCTTGTTCTGGTTTGGAGATTTAGAGGTTTAGGGGCTTAGGAACGCACAGTTACGAGTTGGACAACTTCGACTACTGCTCAGACGATAACCGGAAATGGCGCAATCGTTTTGGGTAGGATGGAAGTAGAAACAACTAGAAGTCCCCGTCTTATTTTCGCAGCTTTTGATCGATACTAGTTGTCCGCTGTTAACAGCTCTCCACGCAAAACAAAGGCTAGACATGGAGATTGCCACGGCAGCCGTGCGGTTGGACCCATGCCTCTTTCCGCACGACCTGCCCAAAGAAATCAGGTGCGAGTGTGGTTGGGGTTAAACGACAGAGGCTGGCAGGTGCAGCAAGTGTAGTAGCTGTTTTGCAGCAACGTGCGACCAGGTCTTGTTTCAACATCCAAGTCGCTGCAGTCGCGCAGAATGTCAGTCTGAAGTATTTTGTTTTGCCCTCTGACCGCGTCATTGTCGAGAAGGCAGCCGCAGCTTGGGGGAAGGCTGGGTGAGGCTGTGTGCAGCACTTATGTCGGAACCGGAACGTTTGTTTTGGTCATGGGTCCTGTTGACTGCAGGCGAGGCTTCTCCCTAAACCACACTCGTGTTCGGAGCATTCCGGTTCCTGCATTGGCAGTCACCGGCTGCGCTGTCGAGTTCCAATGTACAGGGGATGTCAAAAAGACCGTTCCGCAACCCAAAACCCCGTGCCTAAACCTCAAAACCTTACAGTAGAAGCCAGAAAGTTGGAATATCATTATCCTAACCTCTCTAAGGTAAGTTATAGGGGATCCTACCATTAATCTATATTCCAACTTTCTAGAGTTCCCTTTAAACACCAACAACACAAAAGCCACCATCCTGATCCCTAAACACCTGAACCCTTGGGCTAGAAATTTGGGTTTCAGGTGCCATACAAGGGGCTAAGTAGTTCGGGCTTGGGTTTTAGGTCTGGGGTGGGTTTAAGATTTCGTGTTTAGGGAAGGTTAGAAGTTTGAAGCGGGGCGTTTGAATGTATGTATGGATGTTTGTTGTAAGGAGTCAATGAGGGCCTTCACCGGATTTCATAAAGAGTCCTGTGAGGGCTTTTGTAGGGTGATGTAAATGTATGTAAGGGTATCTGTTAGGAACTGCAAAGCTTTAAAGAATTGACGGCTTTTAAGGCGTAAGAGTTTGGTAGGTTCAGGGTTGGGTGAGAGGGGTTCTATCTGTTGTTTATGCGGTGGTTGGCTGTCTTTTTTTGTGTTGAATGGTGCAGAGAGATGCACCTTGCATGTGGCTGGATTCGGCTGGACAAACTTAGTTTCAGAATCAGTTGGTTGTGTCTCGTGGCAATGACGGGCTCCCTGGGTGCAAGGTTTTGGGCTGCTTCGTGGGGTATGCACGATGTTCCATCAAGAAGCTCAGGTCTCACCAGCCTGTCAGAGCACAACGTAAATTTGAATGCCTGAGTGCTGGTCCTTAGCTTCCATATTACTAGCAGGGTATACTATACCCTCCAAAGCCCGATCTAACTGTTAAGTTGGCCGAACCTTGGGCATGCTTGCGCAGAAGCCAAAGGCCCTATGAGAACGGCTCCAGTTGATGCAGCAGAACAAAAATTTTGATTCAGGTAATAATGTTACACACACAAAAGCTTTATGAAGGCAGGTCGTTAGGGTAGTAGTCTTGTTGTTATAAGACTTCAGCTATCTGTATGATTTGACCGGAAACCCGAAGCGCCGACAAACCAAACGCCGAAGCCCTCGTCTTGGACGTAGGTGAAGCCTCGCACCGCCATGGTGACCTCTGATAGACGTTTCGGAGGTCTTGGTGTTGCCTTTGTCGGAATCACATTAATAGGAGCATCGTACGCGCCTAATTGGCTGATAGCCGTGGACAAGGCGCCACAAGAACGGTCAGATGAATGGTGGGAAGCTTGCGACAGTATCATCGCCGCAGACACCACAGACAACGGCACGGCCGCGGAGACGTGCCTGGCCGCATGTACCCTCAAGCAGCTGGACAAGTTGAATGATGAGCTGAGAGCTTGCCTCAAATCCAGCACGGGCTTGTTCTGGCAACCGTGGCTGCCCAGTACCTTGCACGTGCTAGGTCTCGCATTCCTTTACCGTCTCTTGGGGTTTGTTCTTACCGGGTGCAAGATCCGACAAGAAGCCGTTGCGGAGCAGGAACCGGCTGCAACGCATGTGCCACCAGACCCAGACACCTGCAAACACGGGGGCCCCTTCGCAAGGGGCAAGTTAGGGCTTCTTCCGTCTTGCATGGATATCAAAGTGGTGTCCGACCGGCAAGCATCGGAGAGGAAGCTTTTGATTAGTTTCTTCAGCATTCTCACCGAGCCCTTGTTCGATGTCGTCAGCCTGGCGAGCTACCTCCGCAACGGCCAGCCCTTCTACTTCGCTGTCGCCGGCTTGGGCTTCTTTGTGACCGCATACAATTCCCAAGACCCTTTGCAGGCCGATGGTCTGGTAGAGTGGTATCGTTCCTACAGGCGCGGCTTCAAGACCCGAGGCTTGCTGGAGGTGCAGGTTGCTGACCTGCCTGAGGTGGCTGTGTCGACTTGGCTCCAGCTCTACGCTGGTCTGGTCATGACCGAACCAACGCAAGTGCTGATGCTTCTGTTCTTCGCATGCCTCAGCCTGGGCCTGACCCTGCCCGAAATCCTGGAGGCCCGGAAGCTCCTTCATGACATGCAGCTCGAGGCCAGCAATTTCAACAATTTTTACGAAGTGGAGGCGGCCCGGCAGGGCAAGGATTACGGTCTGTCTTTTCTGAGCGTCTGGCTTGTGGAGAATATTGTCCTGCTCATGTCGCGGCGCTGGGGCTATAAGCAATGGCATTTAGAACCGCTCGAGTACCGAGTTGCCCAAGGGTTGTGCTTGCTCCTCATCCTAGGCTCCATTGTCCTGTTGTTGCTTCGCTGTTGTTGCTGCAGCCCCCGCCCTACTTGGGCCCCACGTAGGTGCGGCGGACTGTTCAAGCTGGTGATCATGCATGTTTGCACAACATGTTTCGCTATGTTTTATTCGTTCTTACAATTCTTACTTTGCGTCGATGTTTTTTGCAGTGGGGGAAGCCCCTTGGCCGAGTTTTATTCTCGAAATTTCGATTGGGACTGGCCGCCGGTACTTGGGATGTTGTCGTGGCTTGTCGTGCTTGGGCTCAGCGAAGGTTGCCTTTGTGCTCTTGTGTGGGCGTCTTTAAGCTACATGTTCACATCTTTTCCATGGAAGCTTGGAGTGACAACTGCCTGTGGCATCAGCTTGGCAGCGCTCTGGGGGTACATCCTGCAGAATTTCGACTGGATGCGAACCTTGACGGTTCTGGCGGCAGCAGCCCAGGTGGCCTTCCACATTGTCGCGTTTTTCGGATCCACTGTGGCATGCTGCGGGCTGGCCTGGGTTATTGACTATTCCGGGGCGGCCGAAGCAGCCGAGCAAGGCGGTGGGACAGACACAGAGGCGGCAACACCTTCAGTGGCACTTCTACGTGTAGATCCGGCGGGCCCTGGCGATTACTTTGAAACAGGTTCAAACGGCTCAGACAAGGCGCCATCACAACGCTCTGGCAGCACCTCAAGCGATTCCTCTGACGACTTCAAGATCTGTTTGCTTCCCCGGCAATGCTGACTTATAGGCACCGTCACTGCTTGCGGCACGGCCGAAGGCTGGCAAAGTCATTGAGCCAGCGCATGCCAGCAATTCAAGCAGTTCCCCGCTTGTCCTTTGGAAGCCCAACTCAGCGGCAGCTAGAGTTGCATCGCATGTGTTCAAGTATAAGGAAGCAAGACAGCTTCGGCACCTGCTTGTATGCAAGTTTTGAAGAAATTTTGTGTACATACTTACTATAATCTATTTATATATATATATATATGTATATGTATATGTATGATCATGTATGTGACGTGACAAGGCCACAAGGGCCCTCGTGACCCGTTATGAAGTTTTTGTAATCCTGGATGATAGCTCGGAAGTTGCATGGCAGTCGAGCTTTGAATCTTGCAACGGTGGGCCAAGCCTACTGCCTCTGCTCCCGGTAGTGCTCCAAGAAGCTTGGGTTTTGTTTCTTGAGGGTCAAGGCATCCGTGTAAGAGCCCCGGCAAGCTTCTGGCAGCACTTGCTGTCCCTGCTGTTTCGGCCCTTCCGGGACATGAATTGCACCTGATTAGGCTGCGAAGCTTGCGAAGCACATGGCACGACAAGAGGGAAAGGCTAAATCTCTCGTGGAGCTAACCATAGGAGGCCCCCAGAAGCAGAACCAGATGTATGAGCGTCACCATCACAAGCCCGGGTATGATATGTCAGGCCGATTTTTCAAGCATAAGGATGCAGGACCTAAAGCTAAACTGAGTGTGGGGCCAAGTGAACTCTCACAGTAAACCCGAAGTTGTGCTCTGAATGATAGTCCCATCTTCCCGAAGCTTGTTTTTCATAGTCCCAACAGCTGAAACCCTCACCTCCCTGGCACTTTGGGTCAGGGTTCCCGGGTTCCCAGTATTCGTCCTTGTTTCTTTCGATGCCATAGGGCCATAGGGATTATAGTGCATCAGTCTTTTGAGTGGCTGCTATGGCTTCGGCTTTTGACTTCAACAGGTTTTGGGTTTCGGTTTCAGCATCTGCAATCAAGAGTATCATTAACGGTTTTGGTTTGTTCTGAACTCTACCGTAACAACTTGGAGCTTCCCGCATTGAGCAACAAGTTCTTTCTTCAGCCGTACCAAAATTAAACCATAGCTGCCATGGTCGAAATCACGATGGAGCCTTGACAACCTGCTCAAGTCTGCAAGTATCTTTGTTTTAGTGGTCCCTTGCCTGTATGGTTGCTTCGTGGAACCCATACAAAAATGATCTCTAGTGCAGTTCAACACCATATCAACGATTTCAGACCCTGCAACGAAACCCCCGCACCGCCACAGCCGGGAGTTAAACTCTTGCGACCTACAGCAGCATGACTTTGGGTCCAGGCCTTCAGGACCCGAGTTCAACTTAGGGCTTATCCTTGAACCTAAGCCTCAAAGACCGAAATCCCAAAATTTCACGCATTCTGGGTTAAGAGTTTGGGCTTTATTATTCTCGGATGAGGTGGAGCAGATGCCGTGCTCTTGGCATGGAAAGAAGACATCGCAGCCGGAGTCTCAGAGTAACATAGCCCTTCAACCTGTAGGATATGTTAATAGGGTTTTCTAGGGTTTCCCAACAAGAGACAAAACCCAATACCAAACCCACTCTTTGACGTTTTATGCAGGGAGAGGAGGGCGGGGCGTTTACTGTTTTTGGGGCATGCGAAGATGCCAGCTTAATTATTCTATCATTGAAGCCCGATATAGTTGTCCTTGGTGCAGAAATGGAAACAAGCAACAAGATCCGACACCTGCGAAAATTAAAATGCAAGCACTGCAAACAGAATTTCCTGCGTCCCAAGCACCAAGGCCCCTTGTTTGCAATGCTTCTGAGGTGCTGAGCCTAAGCTGTCACACTGCACCTGATACCCCTTAAAGTTTTCAAGAAGTCCTAAGCCCAATTGCCGTAAATGCTGGAAACGCCCACCCCGGATCTTTGAATCCTCACTGAACTGTGAGGGTTCAGGGTTTGGGGTTTTGGATGGTTTTGGGCTCAGGGCTTCGGGTTTGCGCGTAAAGCCGGGGTTTGGGCTTTGGGGGTTCTTTTGGCTGGATTGTTTTGTGGTTCAGAGCTTAAGGATGTACCTGACTACTTCAAGCTACCCTAACCTACTGCTTTGTAGACGTCATTTTACCGCTAACAAAGTCTTCACATGGACTCTGCAACATAGTAACCCTAAACCCCCAAACCCTAAACCCTACAGTAGAAGCCAGAAAGTTGGAATATGATTATCTTAAACCCTCTATGCTAAATCATAGGGGGTCCTACCCTGAAACCATATTCCAACTTTCTGGAGTTCCCTGTAATTGTTTGGTCGGCTAAGGTAGGGTTCGAAGTGCTTTTGCTCAGATTCTGCAGCTCTTAGCCGGGGAAGCCGAGCCTGGCGACGAAGCACGGCGGGTCGAGTGGCTTCTGGCATGGATTATAAGGGTTTGCGCGGGTTTAGGGTTTAGGGTTTAGGGGGGTTTATAAGTTGGGTTTAGGATGGTTTAAAGGGAACTCCAGAAAGTTGGAATATGGTTTCATGGTAGGATACCCAAAAATTTACCACAGAAGGGTTAGGATAATCATATTCCAACTTTCTGGCTTTTACATTATAAGGGTTTGCAAGGGATTATAAGGGCTTGTAAGGGTTTATAGGTGTTTTGGGGTTTTGGGTTTGGGGGTTTAGGGTTTAGGGTTTGTGTGGGGCGTCGGGTTTTCGTATCTAGCCGTAGCTCCTCGAAGCCAATCCACAATCCATTCTCACCATTCAGACCCTTGTTATGAACTTCATAAAGCCTGACATAATAACACCACAAAACACGATGACAGCCTACATTTTAAATCAAATGCCAGGGAGAAAGAACCACTACACCCCTAAACCCACTAAAACCAAATATCCCCCCAAAAGCAAGAACCCCTAAAGCCCCAAACCCTTAAACCCCTGAGCCCCTACCACAGTGCCCTTAATAATTACCTATGCTATTTTGGGGTTCCTTATTATGATTACATAGTATAATGGCCCCCAAGACCCTATTCTGATTATTAAGGCCCTAAGGCCCTTATATTAGCACCCCTAATAGTCCCTAGATACCCCAAAACCCTAGATTTCCCTGTGCAGACCTTGGACTCCTGGCCCCAGAAAGACGACGCAATGCTTGGACTTCTGCAGTCTATCTGCAGTAAGTTTTAGATGTCTTTTGTACATGTGTATATACGTATTCTTTGAGGATGCATATGTCGTCCTTCGTTTCGCTCTTCGTCGACAGGCTTTCGCGCGCATCACCCCAACGCATCACCCCAAAACCCTATTCTAATTAATAAGGCCCCTATACTAGGCCCTATACTATAGTGCCATTATAGATCCCTTATAGTAACCCTTATAGACCCCTGTAAAGGGAACCCTATTCTAATTATTAAGGCCCCTATAGTAGCGCCAGGGAGAAGTTCCTCGTGACGAAGTGCAGCTCCGAGCTGCGGGGGAGGATCCTCGACCCAGAGGGCCGTCCCCTCGATGGCTCCTCGGACACCTTCGGCGTTCCTAGGGGTGGAGGGTTCAAGTCATCGCGCTTTATTTATAATTAGTAGTTATATAGGGTTTGTATATGTGGGTGTATACATATATATCTAATATATATATATATATATATATATATATATAGACATATATGTATATCCATAAACACATAAAATGCTGCAGGGTTCATCGGCCACGGAGTTTCTACGGTTCACACCGCAAAGGAAAAGGGAGCCTCTGGGAAGACAGAGGCGACGTCAGACAAAGAATCCCATGACCCACTTACTTGTCGAATCCGTCAGAGGAAGCACTATTTGGCCAGAATCCGGTTCCATATTGGGGATATAAGGGTTCCTTAAAGGGGTTCTTGAAAGGGGTTTCCAATCCGAATTGAACTCGAAGCTTTCTCACCCGTAATCCCGAAAGACCCTACTCTCCTCTACCCAGACCCCCGGGAGGATCCAAAAGTAGATCCCTTAATGGGGTTCCTATAAAGTAGTATAGGGCCCCAAATTAGGGGATCTAGTTTCTAGATCCTCCCGGGGGTCTGGGTAAGGGCAGAGTCAGAGACCCGATTCAGTAAGCCGTACACCTTCAACTACAGTGGTATCAACTGTCATACGTTACGACCTCCGGCAAGCTAGCTTAGCACGGCTTGTTAATACCCTGTAACTCATACACCTATGAAGCTTTGTACAAACGCCCTACAACACACCATGAGTTCAAAGCCAGCTGAAGCCTCATGAGTCTCTGGGCAAAACCGAGGTCTTCCTATGCCGGAGAAGTTAGAGTCAAGGCAGATCTTCATGAAGGAGAAGCCTAAGGAGGTCCAGAAGAGAAGCTTGGGGGACTTTGCAGCGGTTCTTAAAGGGCTCCTTAAAGGGGATCTATAGGGTTCCTTAAAGGGATCTATGGGCTTTAGGGTTTCGCCCCAAACCCTAAACCCTAAATGGTCTTTAGAGGTCTTCCCAGACCCCCCGGGAGGGTCCAGAAAGTAGATCCGCTACTTCGGGCGCCCTGTACTAGTAAGGGTATTTCAAAGGAACCCCCATGAAGGGATCGACTTTTTGGTTCCGGGCTTGGGGTTTCGGACCGAGGAGCTTATGGGAGTTTTGGGTTTGGGCGTTTCGGGTTATACAGGTTTAGGCTAAGATCGTGTATGGTGTTATAACGGTCGAGGATGTCTCTAGGAGCTGTTGGCTTCAGGCCTTGTCGGGTTTAGGGTTTACGGGGGCAGGCGTGTAAGGCACGTACTGTGTATAGTAAATGCCAGAAAGTTGGAATATCATTATCCTACAACCTTTATGGTAAATTATAGGGTATCCTACCCTGAAACCATATTCCAACTTTCTGGAGTTCCCTCTAATGTGGTTTTATCAATCCCGGAGAGGTCCAAAAGCTTCAGGGTTTTGGAAATGGTGGGTGTTTGCAGGCTTAAACAGGTTTTTTTTTTTTTTTTTTTTTTTTTTTTTTTTTTTTTTTATGAGGGTGTTCATGAGAAAAGGCCTAG